ATTTGTACATGCAGGCTAACAACTCACTGCGTGACAGAGCCTTACATAATTGCGAGCAACAGGCAACTTAGTGCAATGCACCCCATTTACAGACTATTGCACCCTCATTTTCGATACACAATGGAGATCAATGCTTTGGCTCGAGAAGCCCTAATTAATGCCGGTGGAATCATTGAGACTTGCTTCTCACCCGGCAAGTACTCTATCGAGCTGAGCTCTGTTGCCTACGATCAACTGTGGCGTTTCGATCTCCAAGCACTACCAGCTGACTTAATTAGCAGGTAACTTACTTACCAGGCATGCTCTAGCAAAGCAAGTTACTTTAGGATAATTGATGTGAATCAATAATCCATAATATATAATATTTATTTATTTATTTTTAAACTCAAAATGTACCAACCATCAACCATGGTTTTAATATCCTGTATTGCCTGGTATGTACTACATACCCTGGTAAATCAATCGGAATACAAATCGCATACATTTCAGTCGGTTACCAACATGTACCGATCTATTGTTACCTCATGACCTGATTCACAATCAATACAGTCAGTTCACAATTGATACAGTCAGTTTGGCTGTTGTACAACTCTTTTTCGCGATTGATGATTAAAAATTTGACGATTGCATTACCCAATTCTCAATAAGTATCACTCAATATACTCCTAATACCCTTCTACTGTAGTTGATACTAAAATTTGTCCCTAATACAATTATTTAAAATCATGTCAAGTGATGGTCTTTCTATCTTGGGTTAGGGAAGGGGCTAATTAGTGTCATTATCTTTTGCTAACTTCTTCAATTTGATTAATTATTAGGGGAATGGCTGTGGAGGATCAAGCAGCTCCACATGGCCTAAGGCTAACCATCGAGGACTACCCTTTCGCTTAAGAACAATTCTCTTTTAGGAATGAAGTCTAATCTATGTGTCATTTTGCACAGCTAACAATGTCGTGCATAGGTGTGGTACAAGCTTGAATACCAAACCCATGGCATCAATAAGGTAGTTGCTGATCACTCCCTACCCCCCTAGTCTTTGTATCAAGGGGTGTACACAGATTAGATTGATCGGGTTTTAGAGTAAGCTTGGAACGGAACCGGTTTCTACGGTTTCAAATTAGTATAGATAGGCTTAAGAACAATTCTCTTTTAGGAATGAAGTCTAATCTATGTGTCATTTTGCACAGCTAACAATGTCGTGCATAGGTGTGGTACAAGCTTGAATACCAAACCCATGGCATCAATAAGGTAGTTGCTGATCACTCCCTACCCCCCTAGTCTTTGTATCAAGGGGTGTACACAGATTAGATTGATCGGGTTTTAGAGTAAGCTTGGAACGGAACCGGTTTCTACGGTTTCAAATTAGTATAGATAGGCTTAAGAACAATTCTCTTTTAGGAATGAAGTCTAATCTATGTGTCATTTTGCACAGCTAACAATGTCGTGCATAGGTGTGGTACAAGCTTGAATACCAAACCCATGGCATCAATAAGGTAGTTGCTGATCACTCCCTACCCCCCTAGTCTTTGTATCAAGGGGTGTACACAGATTAGATTGATCGGGTTTTAGAGTAAGCTTGGAACGGAACCGGTTTCTACGGTTTCAAATTAGTATAGATAGGCTTAAGAACAATTCTCTTTTAGGAATGAAGTCTAATCTATGTGTCATTTTGCACAGCTAACAATGTCGTGCATAGGTGTGGTACAAGCTTGAATACCAAACCCATGGCATCAATAAGGTAGTTGCTGATCACTCCCTACCCCCCTAGTCTTTGTATCAAGGGGTGTACACAGATTAGATTGATCGGGTTTTAGAGTAAGCTTGGAACGGAACCAGTTTCTACAGTTTCAGAAAGATTGGAGCTGTAACCACATTGTTAAACTTGTGGAACCAAACTAGAACCTAACCATAGAAACTAGTTTGGTTTGGTTTGGTGTGGTTTTATGGTCCTAGAAAATTTATATAACAATATGATAAATATTTTATATTAATAAATATATTGACAACAATTAGTTTAGTTAAGTTAGCTAGAGTTTATTAATTTCGGTTCAAATCTTATAAGAAACTTTTTATATTTTAATTTTTACATATAAAAAAAATAATAAGTAAGAAAATCTGAAATGAATTCTCAATGAACCAATTAACTTGGGTTTACACAGCTTTATATAAGATGGTTAGAGTTTGTTAACAAAATATCTGAGGAGCCTTTTAACCATGGCAAAGTGAGCAAGGGTAGGAGCTTGCATATGTTGACAGGCTTGATTAACAGCTAAAGCCAAATCAGGCCTAGCAATGGTCAAATATTGGAGAGCCCCTACTAAACTTCTATAAAAGCAAGGGTTAGAATAAGACAAATCATTTGAAGGAGAGACAGATGGGTGAATAGCCAAAAGAGTAGAACAAGGCTTACACTCTGTCATACCAGCTTTTTGAAGTAAGCCACTAGCATACTTCTGCTGAGAGAGAAAGTATCCTTGTGAATGAGAATGAACTGAAATGCCCAGAAAATAAGAGATATCATCAAGTTCCTTCATGGAAAAAGCATTGTGCATTTGGGTAAGTAAAGAGTGGAGTAACACAGAATCACTTCCAGTTAACAAAATATCATCCACATAGACAAGTAAAATAGTAATGTGATGCGGAGTTTTGCGGACAAACAAAGAATAATCTGAGGGACTGAGGTAAAAACCTTGACCAAGCAAGGAGGAAAATGTAGATACCAAGCTCCAGGAGCTTGTTTAAGACCATAGAGGGCCTTCTGAAGTTTACAAACATGGTGAGGAAAGGCAGAGTCAATAAACCCTTGAGGTTGAACCATGTAGATTTCCTCCTCTAAATTGGCCATGTAAAAAGGCATTAGAAATATTCAGCTGTTTGAGTGGCCAATTGCGCTGAAGTGCTAAACACAACAAAATAAAAATGGTTGGTTGTTTGGCAACAGGACTGAAAGTATCTTGGAAATCCACACCCTCCTGTTGAAGATAACCCTTTGTAACTAGCTGAGCCTTATATCGTGCTCTGATACCATAACAAAATCTGAAATGAATTCTCAATGAATCAATTAACTTGTGTTTACACAGCTTTATACAAGATGGTTAGAGTCTGTTATAACAAACTCTAACTCCCTCACTCTCTCTTCTAACTATACCTTTCAGTTATATATCTATCTCTCTTATATCTATTGAAATCTTTCTAATTTTCTTTCTGGCCTAAGCGCTGCAAAACAAATGTCACGGTCTGGTTCATTCTGGAACTGTAACTAAAGTCTTAGAACTAGAAAATTGACCACCATTCCCCCATTTTCAAGCCTAGAATCATAATCAAATCTACTAAAAACTTGACCAAATTGATGGTTTGGTCTGAATTGGATTGATTTACTAGTTCCATTGATTTTTTGAACACCCTTATTGTATCAATGAATTTGCTCTTTTTTCCTTCATTCATCTTTCTCTCTCTTCCTCTATTCCTTTTTTTTTTTTTTTTTTTTGAACAAATTACACCAACCTCCACTAATTGTTATTCAAATTGTAACTAACCCCACTACATTTAGAAAATGACATTGACCTATTTTAATATTTGAGTTGCATTACACTGTGCACTACATTGTTAGGAATCCATTACAAGATTGGATGGAATGTGATGATGTGCGAAATTTTAGTATTGAATTTTTTATTTTACCCCTTAATATATTCGGTTAAAAATGGATCAACCCGGTATAGACAAGTTAACTTGCTAAAATGGCTCAACTTGGTAGGGTAAACTTCTTTTTGCTCTCTGATCCCATTTTTGTTCCCCCTCACTCTCTCTGAGACTTCCCCATCCTTCCATCCACACCATGACGCCACAATCTCTTTTTGTGATAGCTATACCATGCATATCATATTTGCATTTATTTATTCATGTGAAATTTGAATTTGAATTATGTACTTTGTGTTTAATTTGTATGTATATATCTGGTTTGTGAAGTATCAGTTGGGAATTCTATTTTGAATCAAAAATTGAAAGTCTAGATAAGTTCAAAAACCGAAATTGGCGAGTTTAGTTAGTTTGCTATAATATTTAGAGCCATTTGGAGAGTTTAATTAAAATTTGATTCAATTTAGTAAATTAAGTTTTATTTAATTAGTCTTAAATAGTCTTAAGTATTAATTAAATTAGCTTAACCTCTAATAAGTAACTAAGCTAATCTAATGCATATATATGATAAGAAGAGGAGAATTACTTCATTTTCATCACAAAATTTGTTGGAGAGCTCCTAGAAAGTGAGAAACTTCATTTTAGAGAGAGAGAGAGAGAGAGAGAGAGAGAGAGAGAGAGAGAGAACTTGAAGGTCTACCTAGAAGATTGAAGAATTAGAAGAAGATCAAGATTTTGCAAGAAACCAACAAATTCAGGACTCTAGGTAAGAGTTTGATCCCTAATTCGTGTAATTAAGACATCTAGCTAATGAATTTATAGAGAATTTGAGATTGAACACAAGAAAATAGTTTCAAGAGGATGAATATTGATTTAATCATACATGCATGCATCATTATGTAGTTTTTCGTCATTTTGAGCATAAATTTTGTTATCTATGTTGAATTTGGAAGTTGAATTATGCATGAATTTTTTTACAACACCAAATGCATGTCGGGGATATGATTCTACAACGCGCAAGGTAAAGTCGTATTATGACTAATCATGAAAAGTTATTCACTTTCAACGGCATGCCATAACATGCTATTAAAAACTTTTAACAGCTAATCTTATACGTTATATTTAATTTTTCTACAACTACTTTGTGTGCCGTTAATTCAAGGGACAAACCACGACACTCATTACTACTCATTAAATATTTAACACAACGGCCTATTCTGCCCGTCGTAGAATATGTTTGGTTTTTATTTTTATTTTTATTTTTTTTTTATTTTTAATTCAGCAAGTTCTATTTCACCTGTTTTATACAATCTAAAAAAACATTACAAACAAGTTTCACACACACACACACACACATATATATATAAGTATCAATCAATCACCAAAATATTATTTCAAACATCAAAAAAATTATTCATAAGTTTCGAACATCCAAAAACTATCTGTACAATCTAAGCCATCCAAAAACTATGTTTCTAAATATCAAAAATTGTCCTCAACTTCAAAACCGTCCAAAAAGATCTAAATCAAGAGTTGGTGAGCTACCAACCAAGGCCAAGAAAAAAACAACAATTAACATATCAAACAGCACCAAAACAACACAACACCACCAAAATTAGCACCAAAAATAGCTCTACAACACCAAAAACAGCAACTAACAACAACTAGCAGCAACACTAACAACACCAAAACAACACCAAAATCACCTGATGCCAAAAACAATCAGTAGCACTAGCAGCAGCAACAACTAACAGCAACTAGTTTCACTCCAAACACTGTTTTGAAAGCCTCCTCTGATCATCTTCTAGCAGATGCACCTTTTTACTTGTTGCATGTTGTATACAAAATCATCCACCGTGTAGCCTTAGCCCACCGAGTGTGTTTTCATCCAAAGGGCTACTCTCACTTTAATTAGCTCACAAAGATCTTCACAGTTTGGTTGCAGCTCATTGAACAAACAGTCATTCCTACATTTCTAAAGGGACCATAAATCAGCCATAATAATTGATCTCCAAAGTTTCTTTTCTCCTTTTCTAAAATTATAACCCATCCACTAGTGCATTAGCATGTCCACTGAACTAGGAGAGGCCGACTGCAAACCCCACCAGTTGATTATGTTGGACCAAACTTTGCAAGCAAAGGGGCAAATCAACAAAACATGATTGAGTGATTTAATGTTAAAGTGACATAACACACTTAGATCTGGCATCATCACTAAGAACACCAATTCTATGTAGATAATCTAAGGTCTTAATCCTCCCTTTCCAGGCCAAGTAAGAGAAAATTGGGCGCTAGGTGGGGAGGGATTGTTCCAAATAAAGTCAAGAGGTTTCAGAGTAAGACCATTTAATGATTCGCACCAATTAATAGCACATTTAACAAGAAAAATACCTGAAGAATCAACTTTCCACCAAATACTATCATTTGACTACAATCTCAATGCAGAGCCCTCACCTATAACATCAAGTAGTCTCTGCAATTCTCCTTCCTCCCATGTCAATACGGGTCTTTTGAAGTTGAATTCCCAGCTGCTTTGGTTTCTAGCCCTAGTCACCTAAGTATTAATTAAATTAGCTTAACCTCTAATAAGTAACTAAGCTAATCTAATGCATATATATGATAAGAAGAGGAGAATTACTTCATTTTCATCACAAAATTTGTTGGAGAGCTCCTAGAAAGTGAGAAAGTTCATTTTAGAGAGAGAGAGAGAGAGAGAGAACTTGAAGGTCTACCTAGAAGATTGAAGAATTAGAAGAAGAAGATCAAGATTTTGCAAGAAACCAACAAATTCAGGACTCTAGGTAAGAGTTTGATCCCTAATTCGTGTTATTAAGTCACCTAGCTAAGGAATTCATGGAGAATTTAAGATTAAACACAAGAAAATAGCTTCAAGATGATGAATATTGAGTTAATCATACATGCATACATGATTATGTAGTGTTTCGTCATTTTGAGCTTGAATTTTGTTATGTATGTTGAATTTGGAAGTTGAATTACACATGCATCTTTGATTCACAAAGTTTTGAAGTTTAATTTCATGTTTGGAAAGTCAAGGAAGAAGAATTTGAAAACAATTTCTACATGCATGAAGTTTTGAGTTTTAATTTTGGTAAATTCATGAAGTTCTGAGTAAAGGCTTTACAAATAGTTAAGTATTTATGTTTATTGGAGTGTTTTCATGCTTTAAAGCAAGCTATGCATGATCTTTGCCTTTGAATTTGCATTTGGAGCATTTTTCTTGAAGTGTTGAAACCCAAAATTCGACCTCATCGCTCGAGCGATGAAGTCTTCGCTCAAGCTCACAATGCGGGCATCTAATAGTTTTGCAGAGTTTTGTAGATCATTCGATAGTTAGCTCGAGCGAACTCATTTATTTCATGCAGTCTATTCGAGCGATTAAGTCTTCGCTTGAGCCTACTTTGAGACCATCCAGTACTTTTGTAGACCATACAGACCACTCGAGCGACCAAATATCCGCTCATGCGAATAGCCATGTTCCAACATATTTCGAAAAGTTGCATCTGTCCGTATTTCCGTTCTCATGATCATAATAACATTATCTCTTTCTTATATTGAACTGAGGTCTCCATTTACAATTCCATGTTCAATATATTAAATTCACTTTCATATGACATAGTTCAACAAGTTAGAGGATACAAATAAGATGCCTTAATGGCTTACACAAAAGTTCAAGGCATGGCCTTACTACAACAAAAATGGACTCACGACATCTGAAATGATGAATGACGAAAGTGGAGCGTACCGGCGGTGAGTCCGGATCAATGGCGTATCGATCACTGGGCATCAGAGGCTCTAGTGGAATCGGAATCGGAGAGCTAGCCCCGTACTGCCACGCCATCAACTCAGTGGGCATATCTGGCCATCCGACATGAGGATGAATCGACGGAGCCGGGGGAGCTGGTCTACTCCCACCTCTAGATGTGCCAGCCCGGCTAGAAGAAGGGATGTCTGTAGCTCGAGCCCGAGCCTGATCCGAGGATGACATACCGGTAGGGGTGCAACTCGGGCGGGTTCGGTCGGGTTGGGGGTCTGCCCAAGCCCGACCCGAATTGTATTTGGCACTGCCCAAGCCCGCCCAAGCCCGACCATGAACCCGAACATTGTTGCCCAAGCCCGGCCCAAGCTTTGTATTTTGAACTCGGGTTGCCCGAATTGCCCGAGTTCAGAAACCTGTAGGTAGATCTAAGGGTAGACATAAAAGATGCTAATCTAATGGTAGAAAACTAACCAAAAAAAAATAAAAAATAAAAATTAAGACTAACTCTTTTACTTAATAGAAGACTAACCAAAAAAAAAATAAAAAAAAAATTAAGACTAACTCTTTTACTTAATTTATATAATATATTAAATTGAATTCGGGTTCGGGTTGCTCGGGTTGGCCATTGGTTCTGCCCAAGCCCGGCCCGAATTGCAATTCGGGCATCAAAAATCTGCCCAAGCCCGTCCAGATTACAAGATATAGTTGCCCAAGCCCTAAAAAAACTCGGGCTGGGCTCGGGTTGCTCGGGTTGAGCCCGCCCGAGTTGCACCCCTAAGCTCAATGGCTCCCTCTCCCTCTCCCTCTCCCTCTCGCGCGCCCCCAACCCCCTCTCCCTCTCCCTCTCCCTCTCCCTCTCACAATTATTTGTAGAAATAGACATACTGTATAGAAAGAGGAGATGAAAATTTCTTATTTTTGGTGTTTGGCGTTCAAAATTTTCATTTTGGCGCTACTTTGTTTTTTGGTCATACCTTTCACGATAGCCTGTGGAAAGTGTAATATTTTAAACTGTTGGCTTTTGTGCGTTGTGAAAAGTAAAATTTTTAACAGTTGGCTTTAAGCACGTCATGAAATGTTCAATATTTTTAATAATTGGTGTACGCATGTTGTGATAGTTGATATATTAACAGCTTACCATATGCATGCCATAGAAAGTCTTATTATTTACAGCTAACATTGTAAGTCGTAAAAAAATTATTATTGTTAGCATTCACGACCTACGCAATAGACACATTATGCTTGAGAAATTATTTATGACATGCAAAAAAAAAAAGAATGGTAAAAGTGAGATACCACGACTTGCATTTATTGCATGTCTTTGATGTGAAGCCATACAAACCCAATATTATTGTAGTGAGGGGAGTTCCAAATAGCGTCTCAATTTGAGAAGTGAATGCATTTGTGAGAAGTAGCCTTAAAACTGATAAGTTTGAGCAGAAAATGATGAAATGTACTGAAAGATTAAGAGTGTGAATTTAAATTCAATCATCATGAGTTCATTTTGTAAGAATAAAATAAAGAATTGCTGGCAACTCCTTTTGGGTATATTTCTGAAACCCCACCCATGATTTACAAGTAGATAAATTATTTTTTTGAATACTTACTAAGACATAAACAACAAGATTTAGGGTGGGGTTTTACTGTTTGAACAGACGCTTATAGTATGGCTTATTTTTTTAGTGATTTTTAATTTTTTGACTAAAAAAACCACTGGCCAAAAGATGTCTAAAAAATTAAAAAGTCAATCTATATCCCAAACGAAGATAATATTAAATTTTTTGAGATAAAAAATTAAGGATAAAATAATTTAGTTCCCTGATAAATTACTATTTTTTTGGAATCGAAATTCTTGTCAGAAAACGTACATTTTTTTGACACTAAATCATTTTCTTTGCTAAAATTACATTTAGGTGTTGTTTGGGATGACCTAAATAAGTGTATTTTTTATCTTTTTATAAAAAGATGTACAGAAAAATAGAGAGGCAATGTGATGGAAAAAAGATAAAAAGATGAATTATTTTTGAATTGTCAAACTTAGCCTTAGTAGGGACATTTTAAAAATTTTGTGACACAAAGTACTATTTTTTTATTTTTTAAGATGACTTTTTAACGACAACTCTCGCCGCAAGAAAAAATAGTCTCCAATTGTTTCGCAACAATATGTTTATTTTTGGAAATCAAAAAAAATTAGTCCTTAAAACCTTTGGGTTTATTTGGGGTGTGTGTTGACTTTTTAATTTTTTTTTTAATTTTTTTAGTTTAGGATTAAAAAGTCTCGTTTGAGATATGTTTTTTGATTTTTGTGAAAGAAAAATAAAATAATTATGATTTAGATGTGATATTTTATTTTATTAATTTTTTAATTTATTTTATTTTTTTATGATTAAAATAACCAAAAAGTTAAATTTTTTGGCATGCAAACGAAGCCTTTATGTGATGTAGTATAAAGGCATCGATTACATATATATATATATATTAGGGGGAATAAAACCTTTTATTATTCATATCAAATATTTTATATATTTAATTAAAACATTTCTAACTTATTCTGATGTATTTAGGTCAGGTGAATAAGAAAGTCTAACAGAAACAGCGGTCATTAACATTTGGGAAAATATCACTTTAGGTTAAGAAAAATATTTTTAAATGATTAGTAAATTTTACAAACATTAAAATGAAAGCTTATAAACGTTTTTTTTATCAATGTTTTAAAAATTGGACTAGTAAGCAAATTGAAAAGGAAATCTAGTTAATGAGTCACTAATTTAACAGTCAAATCAAATTGGATCGAATCATGACGTCATTATTACATCATAAATATAAAAAATGATACATAAATATAAAAATATAAGTATTAAAATTACAAATTAATAAGTAATAAACATTTACAAAAAATATATATATATATATTTAAAATTATTTTATATATTGATTTATGGAAAAAAAAAAAAACTAACTTTATAAAACATAGAAGTGTATACTTGGAATTAAACTAAGAAGATCATTGGGTAGCATTAGTGATTGCTCGGGTGTCACATGAGTTTGTGATTGCATGTTCAGTTCCTTCACTTAACTCATCTTTTGAGCAATATTACTGGCCGGTTGTTACTGACCGTCTTCAGTTTGGACAAATTGACGACTAAACCACCTAATTGAATGATTTAAAAGAAGAATAATGTTTGAGTTTCACAATTTGTGTGGTTTAAATGGCTCAAAATTGTCAAAACGAGACATTGTTGGTATGTTTTGTGCTCAAAACGACATCGTTTTGACAGTTTTGAGCCATTTGAATCACAAAAATTGTGGTGTGTTGGGATGGTCTCATTTTCGGTTTGTATGATTTGATTTTCAAAACCATGATTTTTACGAATAAGTAATTGATTTTTGCAAATTCCATTGACAATGACATGTGACGTTGCCTTTAACATAAATAAAAAAAAAAATTAAAATCGTTTGTTTTGTTTTGTTTATTTTAAAATATTTTTACAAGCATCAATTGAAGGGCTATGGTTGACATGTGATTTTAGATTATTTTAATCATAAAAAAATAAAATAGATTGAAAAATTAATAAAATAAAATATTACATCTAAGTTTTATATAAAACGTTTTAATTTAGATTAAAATAGTGAAAATATTAAAAAGTTAACCCGCTCTTTAAATAAAGGCAAAGTAATTGAAGATAGTTGAAGTTAAAAGTTAATTTATAGTACATTTTTAGCACATTTCGGTTGTCGTATCCTAAGTTGTCATATCTTAAGTGTATTTTTTTTTT